TATCTATAACAGCCAACAGGTAGAAGCAACTGCAATGTCCATCAATGGATAAATGGATAAACAAAATGTGATATATCCATACAATGGAATATTATCCAGCAATAAATGGAACGAACACATGGATGTTCTGACACAAAGATGGATAAACCCTGAAAACATTATGCTAAGTGAAAAAGACCACACCTGTCACAAAAGGTCACATTTTATGATTCCATTCATGTGAAATGTCCAGAACAGAAAATCTATAAAAGAAAGTATATTAGTGTTTGCCTAGAGCTGCGGTAGAAGGGTGATAGCTAATGGGTACAGGGTTTCTTTTTAAGATGATAAAAATGCTCTAAGATTAATGGTGGTGACGGTTGCACATGTCTGTGAATATACTAAAAACCACTGAATTGTAAATTTTAAATGGGTGAATTGTATGGTATATAAACTATATCCCAATAAAGCTGTTTTTTAAAGAAAAGTACTCACAGACTACAGGGAAGGCAGAGGAGCCAGGACAGAGGAGCCAGCCTAAAGGGGCTTCCACTGGTCAAATTTGGGACAATTTTGAGCATCAAAGGGAATAAATATGGAAACAGATTAAAATATACTGACTTTTAAAAAGAGATGTAGTCTACAGTGCTATATGAAGCAGTGGTGATGACAAGACAGGGAGGGAGAAAGGGAAATTAATCCTTTACAGCAGAATGCCAACTAACAAAAGTAGAAGAATGGCAGATGTGAAAATCACCATTTTGCTACCACCAATGCAATAACTGGTTTGGGCAAGTATTAATGGATGCTAAAACCACTGGCTGAAAAGATGTTGCAGAACTCACATAATCTCAAAGTATCATCCCATAATTACTCATTAATTACAAAGGGGGAAATATACTTTTATAATGGTGAGAGCTAGCAATCACCACCTTAACCAATAGTGGAACAACCTGACATCATGTGGCTTTGATGGAAGTAAAGTAAACATCAACTATTGCAGTATCCTTGCCAAAAAAATTTAAAAGTTTAACCTGAATCTAAGCAAGAGAAAACAATCAGACAAATCCATAATATGGTACAATCTACAATAAAATTGGCCTGGTCTCTTAAAAAAAAAAAGTATCATAAAAACAAGAAACAAAACAAAAGGAAGAGGAAAAGGGAAGGAGTCTGGATTTGATTTAAAGATATTAAAGAGGTTGGAAGTGGTGGCTCATTCCTGCAATCTCAGCACTTTGGGAGGCCAAGGTGGGAGGATCACTTGAGGCCAGGAGTTCAAGACCAGCCTTGGTAACATATTGAGACTCTGTCTCTACAAAAAAATTTTTAGAACGAAAGAAAAATCCTATTTTAACTAGTATAAAACATCTAAAAGCTGGTGGGGGCGGGGGGAGATCAAGTAAGGAGACCCTACCTCCATCATGACTAACTTATCCGGATACGCCAGATCTCCGGGAGCCGGTTTGTAGCCTGCAATGTCAGTCTGAATGTAGATATGCGTTCGGTAGACCAGCCGCTCTTGTACATCTTCCAACATCTGCTTGACTCCAGCTGCAAATGCCCCTAGTTGTTCAGCTGATAAAAAAAGTACAGTCATCCATTCCTTTCGATTTGGAAAATACTTTCTTTTAAACAAACAAAGATATTACTAAACTGTTCAGAATCAGTATGAACCACTTTGCTTCAGAGACTGCGGTTGTATTCTATTTCAGTATGATTCAATGACCTTAGAAAGGTTTAATAAATATCTTTCGATCTCCTCAATTTTAAAACTGAGAAATAAATTTGCCCTTATGCCTCCTTTCTGGGACTCTGTTAAATTGATTCTATTATTAATATGAATAAGAAAATCTGAATTTTAGGAGTGCTTTTGCTCTTTATTTCATATAGCTTCAGACCAATCCTAAGAAATAATTAAGACGGCTTATTAATTGGATTATTATCATTCCCATTTTACAAATAAATTGAGTCCCGCAGACACTAAATAATTTGTTAATATTTTCACAAAGAAAAAAAGTAAAAAACGAAATAAGATATGAGTTTATATAGTGCTTCTTCATTTCAGGGATGCCAGCAATTTAAGACACACTGGTAATTCAGTAACAGGTTTACAAGGGCTAGGAGATATTACATAATCACATAAAAAATTCACATTAATTTAAAAATCATCTTAAATTCAGAAGTATTAAAATGTGAGAAAACGTTCACCTTAGAATGAATTAAAGGCAATAGCATAACCTTGGAAGAGTAATAAATCCTGTGCCTCCTAATGAAAGCCAAGGGGAGGATAATAAATTCTGCCAGTAAAATAATTACTTCAAGGGCATTTTTTTTTAAGAGATATAATCTTGCTGGCACCCAGGCTGTAGTGCAGTGGCATGATCATAACTCACTGCAACCTCAGTCTCCTGGACTCAAGTGATCCTCCTGACCCAGTCTACCGAGTAGCTGGGTCTACAAGCACACCACCATGCCTGGCTAATTTTTTTTTTTTTGGTAATGATGGCAGTCTCGCTATGTTGCCCAGGCTGGTCTTGAAATCCTGGCCTTAACTGATCCTCCCACCCTAGCCTCCTAAAGTGCTGGGATTACAGGCATGAGCCACTGTACCCATCCATAAGGGTATTTTTTAAAGGTACCTTAAGTATCATTAGAGAAATCATGTTCTCTACAACAAGTCAAATATTAAAGATTGTATCAGATAGATAAAGTAGAGCTATTCCAGAGAATTGCTTTTATTTGTAATTTCAAAAAAGATGAATCATTACTATGCTAAAATAATTTCTGTTTTTTAATCAAAAGTATGCAACATAGTACATTACTTTTTGTATTCTGGTCATAGTGTATTAGAAATGCCTAACCCAAAAGCAGTGGTCATTCTTTCTGGATTCCAGATGCCAGAAAGAAAATTGACTATAATTATCTTATTACTAATTTTTCCCAGATTTAAAAAATTCTTTCCCTATGTAATTTATACCTTTAGTCACAGAATAAAGTGTATCTTTATTCCAAAATGGGCAAGCATCAATTCAAGCTTCAAAAATATTAAATTAATGTATTTGGCGGATGGAAGAAGCAGGATTTAGTTTTTTCAAATTTCATTGAGCCACTGATATAATTAAAAAGACTCTCAAAATCATCATTTCTACTTATTTACCATTGTTCTGTACATGATCTTCAAGCACCTCATTTTTAAGAATCCCACAAAGTTCCGATAGAGTCTCTAAGTGAATAACATGAATGATCAATGGCCTGAAGACATCATACAATGACACACACAGTTTCTCCAAAAGCTCACTAAAA